AAATGATACCTGTTTCCGTACGATTATCGGTGTTAAGCAACGTCGAGTCTGGTAAGTTCCTAGATGGGTGACCGCTTGGGAATATCAGGTTCCGTAAGCTTGGATGTATGAGTGATGCTATGAATAATGGCTAGGAATTATTAATCGGAGAGCCGAGTTCCAATTTCAGTTATGTTCGTTATATTCATTTACGAGCAAATACCCTTGGGGAAGGTATAAATCCACCTCTTATCCCGTAGCTATGGGTTAATTAGTAAGACTTGTATCACTAAAAAAACATTATTATCGAAAAAAATATTCTCATAATCTAAATTTTTTTCTGCCTTTAAATAACCTGCAAAGGGTTGATAAACCGTAAAAAACAAATCAACCAGTGTAAAATGATGAGATTTCTGCCAATCTACACCCTTGCGCAAATTAATTGAAATAAAACGAATAATTCTGTTATTATTTACTTTTTTTTCGTCTTTTTCCAATGAAACATGACCCAGTGCCCATGTTAGTACTTCGTATGTCCATTCCACGAAGTCGTTCCTTGCAGATTGACCAAAGATTCTCGATTGGTTTTAAATCAGGAGAGTTTCCTGACCAATCTATAGTACTTTGATTTTCTCACTGGTAAGGCTTGCCAGTGTCTTCGTGCAGCGTTACAATTTTCGTACGCTTCCTTGGAGTAACGTCCATCACAGACAATGGACGTAGGACAACTAATCGACAGTCGAGACAATAGTGTCTGGCCGTGTTAAAAATTTGATGCAATCTCGGATGACGCAATATTTTTCAAAGCCTAACAAATTTCATCATACACCTCGAAAATAGATTCATATTACTGCACACAACTGCAAATGACCTAATCTGAGGAAAAATAGAAATCGATTAAACCCTGTCACTTCAGGGGGTCTAAATCTAATCGTATGGTGAGAGAAAGGAAACTAAAGCAGTTGTTTCAATTAATTTGCACAAGGGTGTAGATGCTTATTTGTGAAATCGAGGTCCTAAAGAGGAAACATCATTAAACAATTTTTATCTTGTTGCAATTGATAATTAGTCCTTTCTTCTCGCTTTCCTTTACTAACTTGCTTAGGAGACCGTGCAGTTTCCTTTCTGTGTCTCTCATCAACACGTTTTTATCCGTGTACCACCAGCTTTTGATTTTTTTCAGAACATCTCGAATTAGCAAAAGATACCATATTTAGTGAATTATATTATCTTAAAAAATACAGGGTATTCCGATAGTTACACTAGGGGAAAAAGAGCAGATAAAAAAGAAAAGAAAAGCACCTTTACTATGCCCCAATAACTGTACTGACCTCAGCGATAAAAGGAAAAAACATCGTTATTCCTTTTTTTTTTGTTCTTGTTCAAGAAGTAAGTTTCAAAAATTAGATTTCATATTATAGAACCGTTGTCTCGTTTAACTATTGCAGTTTTGAGCACACTAAAAATAACGCCCGATACTTATATAGCCGATCGTCAGTGCGTGTCGGCGGCAAATAATACTGTATTCCCTTAGATCTTCGCAAGAAGGGGTAGCCAATCATTTTCTTACACGTCACAGCAATGACAACGCGTATTCAAAAAAAAAAAAACAAGCTATGATGTAATGGTAAATTACCGGTTTTATTTCTTTTAAATAAGATTTCATAAAGTGCTTTTCAGATTGGATCCTCTTCATGACGATGCAAAAGCCTCTCATATCAATAATACCTTCTTTCTCTTTTTAGTTAGGCGCTTATTCAGTCAAGCAGATAAGCAAATATACGCGTAGTGTTCATAGCGAGAACAATATTACTGTTTCACTAAGATCAGGTTTTACTATTGCCACACGCCGACAATTGCAGTAGATTTTTGCTTAATAAAAACATGTGCCTGCACTTTTTCACATTTAATATTTTATGGTGAAGGTTTTCAAAAGAACAAAATATATTTTATTATTGATGCCTAACACCGAAACAACTGAGTCATCGCCGACCACGTATATTTAAATCTAATGACTCACTTTTGATCTGCGTCTCATATTATTTGGTTGATAGAAAAATTTTCCGTACTTAACTGATACAAGATTTTGTATTTATATAATTTCGTAATATCATTTGGAGGTTGTGAATAGGGTCTAGGATTGAGGAATCGGAGTTCGAATTCTAGTCGAGTTCATTACATTCGCATATTATGCTTGTAATAAGGAACAGAAGAGAAGAAGTGCCTTGACGAAGGTTTTAATGTAACAGAGAGGTTCACGATGAGAAGAGCATATAGGACTACAAAGAATAAAAGTAAAAGCTGATATGTATATACAAGGGTGCCCTCAAAATGTATACACACTATAAATAATTATAAAGTCAGAGTTTAATTAAATAGATTTCATTTTTAAAATTTAATAGAAGCTAGAGACATTATTTTATTGTTTTGACAACGCCTGTTTTCAAACTGACGTCCATTTTGGTCCAGGCATTGCTAACAACGCGAAGTAATGGAATCGCAAACATCAACAAACATTCGTTTGGTATTTTTGTGCATTCTCGTTCGATGGCTGCTCTCAGATCAGCGACTGTTACAGGTTTCATAGCGTAGACTTTATCTTTTAAGTATCCCCATTAAAAAAAAACGTCTAGTGGTGTGAGGTCTGGTGAACTCGGAGGGTATTCTACGGAACCTTTTCGTCCAATCCATCTGTTTTGGAAAAGATCTCATCAATGTAAGATCTAACGCAACTCTTCAGTCTGGATCACCGTCATTAATAAACATGGACTAATCTTACAAGTGTAACTTTTCCATTGACACCGCTTCAAAATGCGTTGGACAGACGATTTTGAAATACCTACCTCACGATTCGCTTGCCTCACTTGGACATTGGTGATACGATTCCAGTTCTATTTCTTGCTTTGTGGGGCTTATCGATGTCTGTAGTCTTCCGGGACGCTTCTTCTGGACATTCTGAACAGTTCCATCGGCTTCAAACTTGGAACTTGCCTCCTCTAGATTGTTGGTAAGTCACGTCGGTGGATCTGTTTGAAACGTCCTTCTAAAATGTCTTTGTACTTCATCTGCGTTTTCACACTTCCAGCATCATTTTAAAGTGAATTTCCTTTGTCCAAAGCTTAGTTTGACTCCCATCATTAATTCTAATAGGTTTAATCTGGACAGAAAAAAAACATCAATTAAGATATTAGCTGTTAAATTGTGTATACATTTTTGGAGGACATTATCTATATAGTACAGCAAAAGGTGGATAATCCCGGAACAGTTCAAATTAAGGGAAGTTTATGCTTATGACAATGCTAGTATTCTTGGGAAACCAGCCCTTCTTCTCTTCCCCCACCCCGCCAGCTATGGGTAAATTGCAGGTCTATAACATATAGTGACTAGACTGGAAGTATTACTCTAAGTTAAAAAACAGCCTAAAGCGAATTGACAGGCTCTCTTTCCCAAGACACACCACTAGTACCACAGCTGCAGTAGGTGTAGTACAACTGTGGTAGCGGTGATGTGTCTTGGCTGGTTTTGAATTCAGAGCAATATATCTGGTCTAGTCTCGTTTGTTTGACACTTCTGTAATGTCAACGAATACTCGTTGTCACTTTCGTAATACTCGTTCTAGTAAGAACTTCATGCAAAATTTATGACCATATTTAAACGAAGCTTTAGTTGGTAAACCCGTAACGAAATTTAGTCATTTGTGTTTGAGCATTACCGCAGCAAATATCTTCCACTGGAATCTCTTGTGTTACATTTGGTAACAATATGGCAAAAGCTCAAAAGTTGACAGTGTTTGAACGTGGTAGAATTGTCGAGCTGTATATGCTAGCTCTCTCTCTCTCTCAATGTGCCATCGCTGGGGAGATTGGACGTAGTAAAATTTCTGTTGCAAACTTCTTAAAAGACCCTGAGGGATACGGAACTAGAATTTCAAGTTAATCGGACAAAGGCAATTTTATCGGGGTTGGGTAGAAATATTAGATGGGTTGTCCGGTAAGACAGTAGCCGACCATCGAAGGAGATTAAGGTCCTTACGGGCGCAGAATATATCTAATGAACAATAAGACTGCATCTGTGAGAGAAAGACTTTCAAAGTCGTAAATGCCTTCAAAGTTCATGCTTCCTTCCATACCATAAACAACTCGGCTAAACTTTGCCGAGAAGCACTAAACATGCGACATAGAAAATCAGAAGGTGTTGTTCACTGATGAAAAGAATTTAACCTGGCTTCCAATGTTACTGGCACAATCAGAATATCCCACCGGAGATATTTGGACAGAGGAGGTTCCATCATGTTCTGGGATTCTATCTCCTTTCAATGAACAATGGCCTTTCAGATTATACAGGGCCGTCAAACCACGGCTGGTTAAATTGACATGTTGGAGAGAACATCTTTATTGACTGAAGGCTCTCGCTTGTTGGAAGTAATTGCATCTTTCGGCAGGACAACGCCGCAATTCATAATGGCTGAAAGGACAAAAGTCCTGTTCATGGCGAATATCGCGGTTCTTTTGGACCATCCAACGTGAACCCCATCGAAAATGCTTGGGGGTGGATTGCAAGGGTGTCTATAGAAACGGACGTCAATTCCAAACAGCGAGTAATCTTCGTGAAGACATCTTCACCGTTTTAATAAAATTCAAATCAGCCTTCTGCAGATGCTTATATCGACCACGTCAAAGCGAATCTTTTAAGTTGCTCACAACGACAGCCGTGCAACGCACTACTGAGATGCCTTGGTGGGCATTCCCTATTGTCTGAGGTTGGATCGTAAACCTTTGACCAGCTAGCATTTAGCTTAATTTCCCAGTATTCAAATTTTCTCTATTAAATTGTACATTTTTTTAAATTTAAATTTTTCTTATTTCATTTTTAGAAGCCCTACTCAAATAAGTGGTTGAATCTAACAATACAAAGGTATATTTTTTTCTTTATTTTCAACAGTTTTAAGATTTTAACCTTCAGTACAGATATATATATATATATATATATATATATATATATATATATATATATATATATACATATATATATAGATAGATAGATAGATAGATAGATAGATAGATAGATAGATATGATAGATAGATAGCACTTATGTTTCATTAAAGACAATTGAAAAGACAACTGAAGGATATGGAACAAGAATTTCAGTTGATTGTGCTAAGAAAATTTTTCTGGTGTTGAGCAGGAGGATTTGATGAGGTTGCCCAGCAAGACACCAGCCAATCTTCAAACCAAATTAAGGTCCTTACAGATGCAGAATGCAATTCAAGAACAATAAGATGATATCTCTGAGAGGAAGGCTTTAAAAATCATAAATGTCTTCAAAGTTCATGCCTTCTTCCATATGACAAAACAGCTCGGTTAAATTTTGCTGGGGAGTTCCAAACATGGGGAAGAGAAAAGTCGAAAAATTTTAACCTGGATGTCCCAGATAGCTTCCAACATTACTGGTCTGATAAGAATATTCAACAGGAGATATTTTCTACACAACACAGTAGAGGAGGTTCCATTATGATCTGGGATGTTATCTCCTTCCAAGAAAAAAATGGAATTTCAGGTTATACAGGGGCATCAAACCATGATTGGTTACATTGGCATGTTTGTGAAAGCATTTAATGAAGGTCCTTATTTGTGTGAAAATGACTGGATCTTTCATCAGGACAATACTGCAATTCAAAATGTCTGCAGGACAAAGAACATTTTTATGATGAATAATGTGATTCTTTTGGACCATCCAGCAAATTTTTGAAGTTATTCAGAATGATGTTCATGCTGAGAAGTTTTGTTGGGCATTTCCTACTAAGTTGAAGACTTCTTGCAGGTAGGGTCTTGAACTTTTGACCAGTTAGTATTTAGCTTAAATTCCCAGGACTGAAATTTTAACTATTAAATGACACAAGTAAGAATCATGTATTCAATATCAAATATCTAACGACAAAAGGAATCTGGCTGACAGTGAAGAAAAATAAAAACACATGCAATATTTTCTTTATATTTATGTGTATATGTGCATTTATTCAATAAAATATTTACTTGTTGGATAATGTTTCGCACAAGACATGTGTTCCTTAAAAATATATATATATATATATATATATATATATATATATATGTGTGTGTTTATATATATATATATATATATATATATATATATATATATATATATATATATATATAAGCTAAGCAAAATAAGAAAGCACATTTCTGTTTTTTAAAAAGAAGAGCAATTTGGGGTAAATTATTTCCACAATATGGCGAAAAATGATAAATATGTTTTTAAGGCTACGGGATAGCCATGAAAACTGCTGCTGCACTCATATAAAGACATAACAATCTAAAATTATATATATATATATATATATATATATATATATATATAGATAGATATATATATATATATATAGAGATATAGATAGATAGATAGATAGATAGATAGAGAGAGAGAGAGAGAGAGAGAGAGAGAGATACACATTGTACATCTAGTTTCTCTTTAAACCTTACAAAATGTTATCTTGTTTGGTCATTCAAATACTGATTTTAGGAAGAGATTTGGGCCAAGAACTATTCCCTCATATATATATATATATATATATATATATATATATATATATATATATATATATATAGGGAGAGAGAGAGGGTGGGGATAGAAATTTTGACAAATTTTACCTGACCAAAGTTTTTCATTTTTATTTTTCCTTTTCTTCTCTTCATTTTTTCTTCTCCAATATGTGTTTGAATCTAACAACACAAAATGTACATTATTTTTTCTTTTTTTTTTTGTCCTTGAGATGTTGGCCAACAGTGTACAAAGAAAGAAAGAAAGAAAGAAAAGAATTGAGTACAGTTTAAATGAAACGTCAACAGGAACTTAAATGGATGTCAATCTGAAAACCAAGTACATTAATGCACGCATGCGTATCGTACTTTTGTTTGACGCTTTCAAATACTACTGATGATTCACAGAGGCGTGTATATATATATATATATATATATATATATATATATATATATATATATATATATATATATGATTCAGCAAATACTAGAAGCATAACCTTCGCGGTGCATTATATGTTTAAAGTTGACTAATTTTTATTATTTTTTCCGAAAGAAATATATGAGAGAAATAAGAAAATAACAGAAAAAGTCAAAAGAAATAAAAATTATAACATATAAAAGAAAAAGAAAGCATAAAACTGAAATAAATAAAGAAACAAACAAACAAAAATATACAAAAATAAAATAGAAAAAGTTGAAATAAAAAAAATATATACAGTCCATCCAAAATTATTATTTATCACGTAAATTTCATTAACCTTGAATTTGCTTTGAAAAATATTTGCCAAATTTGAAACGATTAATTTAGACATTAAAACAAGGCGTGAGTCACATTTTTATGTAATTTCAACATCTCTTATTAAAGTTATTGGATTTATTATATAAAAAAAAACTGTTGTCTGAAATTATTACTCAGATTAAACTAATCTCAGTTTAAGGCCTCTGAAATCTAATACAAATTATTTTCCATATATTTTGAAACATGGGTAATCGAAAGCAAAGGCAAATCCTTTAAGAACTTGTCTGCGCGGGGAAAAACTTAAACTAAAGTGAGTTATAGTGAAACAACCACTTTTGACCATGGCTCCGATCTTTGGACTGGCTGGGAGTGAAAGTTAAGAATGGCAAAATATGTAGGATATTTCGCAAATTGGTATCTCGTCAAGCTCCTGTAAATAAAACAAATATGTTAAAACGTTAAAATGGGTCCAAGAAATAAATGAAAATTGAAATTACTAAAGTTATTTTCACGGATGAATCTCGGGTGAGACACGATGAACTTGATGAATGGATAGACCAAGCTATGTAATTTATTCGATGCATGGATGTGGCTTGATGAAAGCAGCAATGAGACGGCAGTGTGATCTTATGAGCTGGAATTATCGACCAAATTATTATTAGGCCATTCAAAATCAATGAAACTGAAGAACGCTAACTATTGCAATTTCATAAACAAAACTTTCTTTGAATGGTACAAGTTCCAGACTCAAGTTTCAAAGTGAATCGGGTATTTATTCATGACAATGTTGCTTTTCATGTCTCTAAGGTTACCTGTGAAATTTTTTGAGGCATAAAAGGTTTACAAGAGAGAAGATAAAAAATGGCCACCATTAAGTTCTGATCTGAATCCAATTGAAAATATATGGTCAATTGTGGAGATGCAATTATATGAAGATGGCAAACAATATGACATCAAAGCAGACCCATGAGAAGCAATTAAAACCACTATGTTTTAAACTGAACCGACTGAAATAAGAAATTTAAGAAAGTCAATTGATAATAGATTGCTGTTCGTTATTGAGAAGGTTCAATATATTAAGATATAAATGCTTTAAAGACATATATATGTTTGTTATTTATTCTACTGCAGTTGTTGATTAATTGTTAATAATTTTGTTAGCTTGTTATTAAAGTAAAGTGGTCAGCTGGTCTGGCATAATAACTCCAGACTGCAGTTTTTATAATAAATCCAATAATTTTAATAAAACTTGTTGCAGCTAACTAAAAAATAACACACGTTTTGTTTTGAAGACTGAATTGTTTAAACATTCGAGTCATCGAGGTTTTATGGGATTTGCATATTAGCTTCAGACGGTCTGTAACAGTGGAAGAATGTATAAAACACAAGGAAAGAAAGATAAATAGAAAGAAAGAAACCATGATAAGATTGAAGTGAGATAAACGTATGATATCATATGAAGAGATTCAATCAAGCGAGAGGCGGAATGAGGCAAAGAAGAAAAATAAAATATCTGAAGGAAAAACTAAAAAAAAAAAAACATGATGCAAGCAAAGAAGAAAGATTAAAAGAAAAAAGAAAGAAAAGTAAAATTAGGAAAATAAAAGAAAGGAATAAAGAATAAATATAAGAAAAATAAGAATAGAAGCATGAAGAATGAAAGAAAGCAAAGAGAGAAAGAAAGAAAGAAAAAAGAAAGAAAGAAAGAAAGAAAGAATGAAAGAAAGCAAAGAAAGAAAAAAGAAAGAAAGAATGAAAGAAAGCAAAGAAAGAAAGAAAGAATGAAAGAAAGAAAGAAAGAAAGAAGAAAGAAAGAAAAAAAGAAAGAATGAAAGAAAGCAAAGAAAGAAAGAAAGAAAGAAAGAATGGAAGAAATCAAAGAAAGAAAAAAGAAAGAATGAAAGAAAGAAAGCAAAGAAAGAAAGGAAGAAAGAAAAGAAAGAAAGAATGAAAGAAATCAAAGAAAGAAAAAAAAAAAAAAAAAAAAAGAAAAAAGAAAGAAAGAAAAAAAAAAATGAAAGAAAGCAAAAAAAAAAAGAAAGAAAGAAAAGAAAGAAAGAAAGAAAGAAAGAAAAAAAAAGAAAGAAAGAAAAAAGAAAGAATGAAAGAAAGAAAGAAAGAAAGAAAAAAAAGAATGAAAGAAAGAAAGAAAGAATGAAAGAAAGCAAAGAAACAAATAACTGAAATAAAAAGCAAAGAAAAACAGACGAAAACAGAAAAATAAAAAATGTATGAAGTCAGACTTAAAGAAAGAAAAAATATATGAAAAAAATGATGGAAAGTAAATGAAAAATGAAAGAATAAATACATATGAAGAAAGAAAGAAAGAAAGAAAGAAAGAAAGAAAGAACGATTGCGTAGAAAGAAAGAAAGAAAGAAAGAAAGAAAGAAAAGTTGCGTAGAAAGAAAGAAAGAAAGAAAGAAAGAAAGAAAGAAAGAAAGAAAGAAAGAAAGAAAGAAAGAAAGGCAAATGAAATAAAGAAAGATAAACGCATGAAGATAGACAGAAAGAGAAAAAGAAAGAAAAATGAAAGAAGAAAAGAAAAATGAAGACAGGCGTTAAAACAGAAAGTAGAGACGCTTTGGGTCTAGTCACTGGATCTTGCAACTTTGTCGTTTGTTTTTTTAGCCCTAGCCTGAGCTGCAAAATGCCGGATCTGAGTAATAATTTTAATAATAATTTTAATAATTAATAAAATAAGAATTTTTAAGTCGATTAGATGAACCAGAATTTGTCGAGACTTGGATCCGGTGTTTTACAGCTCAGGCTAGGGCTAAAAAAATAAGAAAGACAAAGTTG